AAAAAAAAAAAAAAAAAATTGCATTCAGGATACAAGAATAGCAGGCTACTAAACAGAACTGTTCAGAGAACAAAAATGGCCTTTGAAAATTATAAATCTTACAGATTTACAATGAAAGACTGGAGGAATTGTAACATAAAGTGAAACAAAGTATAGGGAAAATAGGAGAACCTATTTAGGAGGTAAAGATGGGAATAACAGAAAGCCTATAAAGAGAAAACTAAAAATGGAAGGAAGAAAATGATCAGCAAACAAATATTTTCAGTATCAATAGTCTTGAGTTTCTAGAATGAAAGAAAACCTACCCATTAAGGGTCCCTCACAATGAATGCAAATAGACCCATGTTAAGACATAGACCTCTAAGGTCAAGAGACGAAGAAACAGGTGGCTTATAAATTGGTGGAGAGTGTAAGGTTGATAAGCTTAGTGATAAGCTGGCTCTGTATTAACCAAATGAAAGACAAATATTAACAATAGGGAAAACAAAAGTTATGCAGCAAAGGACAAGTCATCCTAGAATACACACACACACACACACACACACATATATATATATTTTTGCAGTTATATGACTTAATCATGAATAGAGTCTTATGTAATCATAATAAACACTGAATGTTGATTTAACCAAAATTACTTGGGAGGTCGAGATGGGGACTGAAATAGTTCATGCCTGAGGAACAGGTATGGTTATGTAAAAGAGAAGGGGATTCACATCCGCCATGACTGAAACATTGAAGTAGCAATGTAAGTACATGTCTTTAAAGTGTGGAGGTAGATACTAAAGGAATCAGTCGCGCAGAGCTGCAAGTGGTCCCCTCTCAGGAGGGAGAACTAGAAGAGCGACTGTTCTTCTAGTGGAAATGACTATTCTCTTCCACTATTGAGCACTATAATTTTATTCGCTATTTTAAGCAATTTCACAGTTATAACATCAATCTCATTTCATGACATTTTGTAATAGTTTGTTCTAGTTTGGGGGTAAGCAAATGTTTTCTGTAAAGGGACAAATAGTACACATTTTAGGTTTTGCAAGGCATATAGTCTCGGTTGCAATCACTCTGTGCTATAGTGCAAAAGTAGCCATAAACAATGTTTAAATAGGTCATGCCTATAATCCCAGCACTTGGGGAGGCTCAGGTGGGTGGATTGCTTGAGCTCAGGAGTTTCAGACCATCTTGATCAAGAGTGAGACCTCCAAGACCTTATCTCTAAAAATAGCTGGGCATTATGGTGAGTGCCTGTAATCCCAGCTACTCAGGAGGCTTGAGGCAAGAGGATTGCTTGAGCCCAAGAGTTTGAGGTTGCTGTGAGCTGCGATGACATGGCACTCTACCGAGGGTGACAAAGTGAGACTCTGTCTCCAAAAACAAAACAAAAAACCTCTAAGAAACCCCAATGTGTAAAGAAACAAATGTGGCTGTGTTCCAAAAAAATGTTATTTATGAATCCTCAAATTATTTTTTGTGAGTCACAGAATGAGACTGTTTCAAAAATAAAAAAAAATCTGTGGATGGCTCATTGCTGATTGATTTTGTTTAAATAGAGGAAGATTCTATTTATTATATACTTTGTTTTTTAAAGTATTAAAAGAAATTATTTTGTATGCTTTCTCCTATCATACTCACCTAAACATACTGCCAGAAATACCACTGGGGAAAGGGATGGTGATGATGGAACTACAAGAAAAGTTGGGATGGATGGGAACACGGCTGCCTTACCCACTATTAAAACCATGCCTTGATGCCTGGCCCCACTGCTGCCATAAGCAAGTCTAGGTCACAAACAACTGCTAAGAATACAAACATATACCAACACACAAACGTTGGGCCATGTACAAGCTTTTAAGATAGAAGCATTGAGGAGGATGAATGTTAAGTTTCCTTTCAACTTTGAGATTCTGTGAGTACAGAATCACTAGCACAGAATCATTCGCACTCACACACCAGAGTGTAAAGTAGAGTCTGTACATGGATGTGAGAGTAGGTGTGGAACAGGGGCTAATGAAGAGGTGGGAGGTAAGAGGCACAGTAGGGAGGAACCTGGAGTGGGAGCTCTGACAGTGCCCACATGTGTTCACCTGGCATCCGGAGCGAACTCCATCTCCACCAGCGCACACCATGGTGTTCTTCACAGTGGAGCCCCAGTAGGAGGAGCTGGAACAGGTGGCATAGTCCACGGAGGGCAGGTAAGCCTGCTGCAGGGTCTGGGCCAGCTGTCCATTGGCTGAACAGGACACACAACATTGGAGGTCAGTCCCAGAGGCTTTCAGGGGTAGGGGGGATCCTTCTGCACTCACCAGACCGCAAGCTCTGGTGAAGGTGAACGCAGGGCTAATTCCTTTCTGCTTATTCTGTGTCAGGGATCCTCTTTCCTTCACTCTTTAGGGTCCCTTCCTTCAAAGTCAGCCTAGCTTAGTGTTCCCAGGCTCCACACCACTCCTGCTTTTTATTCACTCATAGATAGCTTAGTTAAGTATTAGACTGGTCTTATGTATTGATAACTTGTCTGTCTGCTCTGCTTCTTCCTTTCACTGTAGGCCCCAGGAAGTAGGACTGGGATTGTGCATGCTTGTTCCATTTCTTTTTCTTTTTTTTTGAGACAGAGCCTCAAGCTGTCACCCTGGGTTGAGTGCTGTGGCATCACAGCTCATAGCAACCTCTAACTCCTGGGCTCAAGCGAGTCTCCTGCCTCTACCTCCCAAGTAGCTGGGACCACAGGCGCCCACCACAATGCCCAGCTATTTTTTTGGTTGCAGCCATTGTTGTTGTTTTGGCAGGCCTGGCTAGATTTGAACCCGCCACCTTAGGTGTATGTGACTGGCGCTACTTGAGCCACAGGGGCTGAGCCGCTTGTTCCATTTCTTAAGAGCTTGGTGCAGTTTTCCTTTACCATGTTCTTTAGATTATTTATTCATTATAGATCAAGAAATTGAGCCACAATAACATTAAATGAACCAAGAGGAGCTGGATTAGAAATATGCATCTCTCAGCTCAGGTTTTCCTAGCAGACTTGCTGCTCATAGCAAAGCCTCACTTCACCTTGAGAAGCCCAAATACTGCCCTGTGGCTGATAGATTCCTGTGTCAGGCTAGCGATCTTTCTTCATAGCCCTCCCACCTTTCTACATTATCTGAATAATGTTCCCTACCTGAAATCTTCCAATAATGACCAGAAAAGAGGTGAGGACTCCTCTGCCCTTAGCTGCCCCTGGCTCTTTCTCTCCAGCTTATGGCCCAGTGCCTGTCTATGGAAGTAACGTGATGGTGTATAATGACCATCAAAGTAATAGCCAGGGCTGGGCACTGTGGCTCATAATCCCAGCACTTTGGGAGACTGAGGTGGGGTGATTACTTTGAGGCCAGGAGTTTGAGACCAGCCTGAGCAAAACAGTGAGATCATGCCTCTACAAAAAAATTTTTTTAATTGGCTGGGCATGCTGGTGCACCCCTATAGTCCCAGCTACATGGGAAGCTGAAGCAGGAGGACTATTTGAGCCCAGGAGTCCAAGGCTTCAGTGAGCAATGATCATGCCACTTTATTCCAGCCTACGTGACAGAGGAAACCCTATGTCATAAAAAGACAAACAAAAAAAGTGAGGGCCAGGAAGTCTGGGTTATGGCCCCAGTTTTGCACGGACTAGTCATGTGATCATGATCCTTAATTTCTTTGGCCTCAGTTTCCTCGTATATAAAATGAGGGGCTGGTACTGCATCTCTGATGCAAGTATTTTTTTTTAGTTCTGAGAGTCTCTAAAGCTCTGACTTGACTATTCTACAATCCATTCTTAGTTCGATATATTTTAATGCATAAATTATTTTATCTACGGTTCCTTTGGTTCCTGGTCTTGGCTTTAGATGCCTAGGACTACAGAAAAATGTGTCCAGAAGTCAGCTGCCTATTCAAGATTTCTGCGGTGGATGCTGCCAATGTGGGTGACTTACTCCTGGTCCTGCCCCAGCCCGTGATGTAGCAGGGACTGTTGTTAGCCAGGATGGTCCCCTGTGGAGGCAGAACACCTAGCTGGACATAGCCATTGAGGGTGACACTCTGGGCCAGGCGCAGCAGGGCGATGTCATAGCTGCAAAAAGAAAGGAGACTGCTCACTCATGGGATCAGCCCTTCCCTCAGGTCAGCCGATGCTCTGGCTCTTTCTAACCCTTTGCATCCCTATGGAATTGGAAACTAACCTCTTTGAAGAAGGAGGAGCCTAACTTGCTAAGCCGCAAACTTGACCAATTACCCAGCTGGGTTGTAAAACATTATCTGTTTAATAGCAGCACCTGCTGGTAGCATTTTGGTATTGCAGCCTAACTCTGATCACAACCCAAGGAAGAGGAGTCTGGGGAATCTGAAAGGAGTCTGAAAGTCATGCATTATCTTGGTGGCAGACTTCTTAAAAAAAAAAGTGTAAAAGACTGCATGATCCTGAAAGCCCAGCAGAATATCCCAATTACTTAAGTTCACCGCCCCACACTCTACAGAACTAACATCTTTTTTTTTTTCAATTTTTTTTGGGGGGGGGCGGGGCTGGGTTTGAACCCACCACCTCTGGCATATGGGGCCGGCGCCCTACCTTTTTGAGCCAGAGGCACTGCCCACCCCCCTTTTTCAAGATGGAATCTCACTCTGTTGCCTTTGGAGTGTTATGGTGTCAGCCTAGCTCACAGCAATCTCAAACTCCTGGGCTCAAGTGATTCTCCTGCCCTAGCCTCCTGAGTAGCTAGGACTATAGGCACCTGACACAATGCCTGTTTAGTTTTTCTATTTTTAGTAGAGATGGGGTGTTGCTCTTACTCAGGCTAGTCTTGAACTCCTAAGCTTAAGGGATCCTCCAGTGTCAGTCTCCCGGAGTGCTAGGATTACAGGTGTGAGTCACCATGCCTGGCTGAACTGACCACCATCTTAATGACTTCCTTTCCAAAAATTTACAACTCGGTCTTGAAGGTTTCCCAAGTAAGATTCACTTTAAGGGCTGGTGTGATGGCTCACACCTGTAATGCTAAGCACTCTGGGAGGCAAAGGTAGGAGTATCACTTGAGGTTAGGAGACTAGCCTGAGCCAGAGCGAGATCTGGTTGCTACTAAAAATAAAAAAAAATCAGCTGGGTTTGGTGGTGTGTTCTTATAGTCTCAGCTATTCAGGAGGCTAAGGCAGAAGGATTGCTTGAACCCAGGAATTTGAGGTTGGTGTGAGCTATGACATGCCACTGCACTCCAGCCAGGGCAACAGAGCAAGACTCTGTCTCAAAAAAAAAAAAAAAGAAAAGAAAGAAAGAGATTAACAAATTTACTTTTGCTGGTGAAGTCTGCTCCATAAAGTGAATGATAACAATAAAAACCAAAGAGTAAAAATGGGAACATCTAACTCTGTAGAAAAGGACCAATTACGAAAACCAGCCTAAAACCTTAAACTTTTTTTTTTTTGAGACAGAGTCTCACTATGTTGCCCTCAGTAGAGTGCTGTTCCGTCACAGCTCACAGCAACCTCAAACTCTTGGGCTTAAGTGATTCTCTGGCCTCAGCCTCCCAAGTAGCTGGGACTACAGGCTCCCCCCACAATGCCCAGCTATTTTGTTGTGGTTGTTGCAGTTGTCATTGTTGTTTAGCAGGCCCAGGACAGGTTCGAACCCGCCTACCTCAGTGTATGTGGCTGACATTGAGCTGCCTAAAATCTTAAAGATCTTCAAAAATTCCCAGGCCCTCCAAAATTGAAATTGTCAAAGTCTTTCTGGATGAAAGAGCCAGCTCATTGTTCCCTCCAGTACATGGTGCCCTCTCTTAGGCTCAACTGGGGTCCTCAGCCAAAGGACAGGCCATGACCCACCCACGAACTAGGTTTCAGGCAGCGCAATCCTGCCTCCCCCCTCCCCGCTCTGAGAGAACAGGGGGGAAACCCTGCCACTGGCCAGTCAGCTCTCCAGCTCCTCGGCGTGGCCGCCCCGCCTGCGCCTACCCGGCAGCCACGTTGTTGCTGTTCCAGTAGGGATGCACCACGATCCTCTGCACGCTCACGTACTGCTCGGTGCCCTCGTTCTGGCTCAGGTTGTGGTCTCCCACCACCACGCGGAAGGTCATCTGACTGGAGTGAGAGAAGGAATCTCAGTGATCCAGAGGGCTCAACCCTTCCCTTTTCCCTCTTAGAGAAAAGTTGGAAAGCCAACTAATGTACTTTCTTTAGAATAGGAACCCATCTTATCTGGCCCAGGCAGATAAGGAAGATGAGGAAGTAACAAGCTCGCTCATTTCCCAATTTACTAACTTGCAGGACTGAAAAACAAAACGATACAAAACTATCATCAACTTCATTTTCATAGTTTATTAAGCTGAACATCATAGGCTGAATATCTTGTAAGTTGGGAGAGGTGTAGTGAGCGTAAATGAAATAATAGCTCTCAGCCACAGAGGGATTTTGAGGGAAGTACATACTTCTACACTAGTAGTGTTTAGTTTTGAAACAGAGTCTCACTCTCACCCTGGGTAGAGTGCAGTGGCATCATCATAGCTCACAGTAGCCTCAAACTCTTGGGCTTGAGCAATCCTCTTGCTCAGCCTCCTGAATAACTGGGACCACGGGCGTGCACCACTGTGTCTGGCAAGTTTTTCTATTTTTGTGGAGATGGAGTCTCACTCTTGCTCAGGCTGGTCCTAAACTCCCAAGCTCAAGCAATTCACCTGCCTCAGCCTCCCAGACAGCTAGGATTACAGGCATGAGCCACTACGCCTGGACAGTAGATGGGCAACATTAGTATTATCTGGAATTATGTTAGAAATGCAGATTATCAGGTCCTACCCTAGACCTACCAGATCTGCTGTGTGGGGCCCAGCAATGTGTGCCTTCCAGATGATTCTGTAATATGCTTAAATTTGAGAACTAATGCCCAAGATAAATATGAAAAAATAGTTACTAGGAAGACATTGACTGGCACTTAAATAGTTACTCAACTGTCACAATAACTACAGAGTAGGCATTATTACCTCATTTTATTTTATTTTATTTTTTTAAGAGATAGAGTCTTACTTTGTCACCCTCAGTAGAGTGCTGTAGCATCACAGCTCACAGCAACCTTCATCCCTTGGGCTTAGGTGATTCTCTTACCTCAGCCTCCTGAGTAGCTGGGACTACAGGTGCCCACCACAACACCCAGCTATTTTTTTTTTTCTGTTGTTGCAGTTTGGCCAGGGGTGGGTTTGAACCCACCACCCTCTGTATATGGGGCAGGTGCCCTACTCACTGAGCCATAGGCACCACCCTATTACCTCATTTTAAAGAGAGGAGAATGGGGGCATAGAGAAGCTAAGGAAATTGTTTAACATTACATAGCTAGAAGTTGGTGGAACAAGGTTTGAACCTGAGCCTGCCTGCCTGCCTCCAAAATTTGTACTTTTCACCATGCTACTTCCCCATAGACCCCTAAACACAAATGGGCAGGGCCATGGCCCCTGAGAAGCCAAAGTTGCATACTCATGCAGAAGGGCCAGCCTCTTCCTCACCAAGGCTCAGAAAAGCTGGTCTTTGTTTTCCTCACCTGTCCACACAGTGAGCAGCTGTCATCACCCAGTTCTGTCTAATGAGGGTCCCTCCACAGGTATGATACCAGGAACCTCCCGACAGGTACTGGAGGGAAATCTAGATGGAGAGGAAAGAAAGGAGGGGATAGGCTGGTGTTTCTCAAAAGGTATTGTCTCACCCCCCTGGCATCCCTCAAAACATTCTCCAACTTTCTGGGCTAGGGATGGCAAATAGATGCCAACTGCTGTTGATGGTTTGGTAGTGGCTACCTGGAGTGTGGTATTGAGGTGGGGTGTGTAGATGCCTCTGGGAGTCAGCCGGGAAGAGTCTGCCATCATTGGCTAGTTGTTGTGTGGATGGGGGTAGAGAAGGTATATTTGGCATTCTTTCTCTAGATGGTGCAAGGGGCCTGGAACCAAGGTCCTACCTCCATTCTCTCTTGGAAAGCAAATGTTGCCAAAGAGTGGCCCCATCATCTAAGCCCAAGCAGGTCTCCAGAGCTTCACCTTCAATGTTTCCAAGATGTACCCTGCCCCCTCTTCAAGAAATACTTAGAAATACCAGTGGAATGTTCATCTTTATCAGCTCATGTCTCTTCCTGTGGTACCCCACATTATGCAATAGCTCTACTCCTGAAAGTTGGGGCTCAGACTTCTGCAAATTGAATTGAACTCTACTGACAGTGATTCCTCTCAAAGTGCAGATATCCACCCATTAATTTGCCAGTTTTACACATTTAATTACTTAAATCAGAGCCCAACTGCCCTGTTATGAAAGTGGAAACTCTTTAGGGAGCCAACTAAGCAACATACTCTACTTGGGTGTGTTTTTGTGTGACACACACTGTGTGGACTAGTGTGTGCATGCGTTTTTCTTTTTTTTTTTTTTTGAAACAGAGCCTCAAGCTGTCCCCCTGGGTAGAGTGCTGTGGCATCACAGCTCACAGCAACCTCCAACTCCTGGGCTCAAGCGAGTCTCCTGCCTCCGCCTCCCAAGTAGCTGGGACCACAGGCGCCCACCACAATGCCAGGCTTTTTTATTTTTGGTTGCAGCCATCATTGTTGTTTGGCGGGTCTGGGTTGGATTCTAACCCGCCACCTTAGGTGTATGTGGCTGTTGCCTTAGCCACTTGAACCACAGGCGCCAAGCCTGCATGTGTTTTTCAAGGTTTGTGGAATCTGAGGTGTGAGTCTGGCACAGTCTTTGGAGTTTTGCACAAGGGGTGCCACATGGGAGTATGAGCATGGTTTGTGTTTGGGTGTGTGCCTTGGAGAGTGTAGTTGGTGCTTATATCCCCTCCTCCAAGCCTTTTGCATTTAGAAAACCACATAAGTCTGGTCCCATGCATCCTTCACATCCAGAGTTCAGACAGTCGGAGAGCTGCTTGTTAAGACATACACACACAATACCCTGTGCCAGTGCACAGCAATTCCTATTGGGGTGGGATCTGGGGCTGCGAAGGAACACCCACCTGAGAAGGCCAGGAATTCCTCTGGGCCTCAGTCCCTCCGACTACCCGGGCGTTGGTTTCCGGAAAGTCCTGGGTGCTGTGTCCTTTGTGGGGCAGAAGAAAAGTGAGTGATGACTAAGCGTGGGGTCAGCCAGGGGTGGCGGTGCTTGTGCTTTGTTAGCCTTGTCTGCAAATTCATAGCTCCTCCCTAACAAACGAGGGGCCCAGTTGTGAGTTCTCTGAGCCCCTTTCAAAAGCAGGAGAGGCTGAGTGCCTCCTCCTTCCCCCAGGTGTTCCCAGAACTCTGGCATGCTATGAAGGACCCATCTCAAATCACTAGGCTAGGGGCCCAAAGGCTCCTCGTGGTCTGGGCCTTATTAAAGGTTACCCCTTGGCCTGAAGGGATGTCTGTACAACACCCTAGATCCTTCGAGGGGGCAGGGACAGCAGAGCACATCCCAGCCAGGCACCAGCTGAGGAAGTCTTCCTGTCCAAAGAGGTGCTAGGAAGCCCAGGTTCCCTGGAAGGGGCTTCTCTTGCTTTATGACTCAGGCACCTGCCACCCAGAGGGGCCGGCATGACCAGTGGCCCTGACCTTTCCTATCTTGGGCTATGGGAGAGTAAAGTTTTTGCTAGACCGTCAGACAGAGTGTCCCACCATGCGCTGGGATGGGGAACTGCCTGGGTTTATGGAATGCTTTTCGACCTTCCGCTAGAATCCCCCTTGCTACAGAACTCAAGCCGCAATCCACTTACCATAAAGGACCAGGGCCGCGAAGATGAGGAAGCGCAGCATGTTGCCTGTGGAGCAGACCACTGCCCCTTGCCATGCACCAAGCCCTCTTTATACTCCTCTTATCAGCAGCTTTGCTGACCTTCTTCCTGCCAGCTGGCAGGGCTGCGAGGGGAAGGCAGGGAAAATCACAGGTGACATGGAAACACAAATGAAAAGATTTCTTTTCAAGTAAACTAATTTATCTGTTATTCAAAGACAGAACAAGGCTGGAGCTGAATTAATCATCTGCTTTTAGTTGAAAAGCATCCAACAAACTCTTTTTCAGAAATAAGATGGAGAGCTGGGACTGGCTTTGCCCTTGGGGTGCTCCCCTCATCGCCTGGCACTGCCTCACTGTCCTCGGTGGCACCATAAATGAAGAGACCTGTCCTGCGCACTAGCAGGTAGAGATGAGGGGGCTTTTGGAAGGATTGGCAAGAGGAAGCAAGACACGGCAGCCCTCCTGGCCCAAAGAGGGAGATGGCACGTGTCCCAGCATGCAGATGTCACCACAGAGCAGGAGACAAAAGCCAAGTGGATGCAGCGGGGAAACTTCTGGTGGAGGAAAGTACTGAGAAGCAGCTTGGGGGAGACTCGCAGATGGAGAGCCAAGAAGGGAGCTCCCAGGGAAGGAGAGGGTGGGGCAGGGTAAGGAGCCGGTCTGAGGGCTGTGAAGGTGGAGAACAGTGGGAGCAGGAGGGAGGAGCAGGTGGGTCTTGCAGCGGATGACACCCCAGGATTCAAGCTTCATGCGTCTGGGAGTATGAGAGGCCTCGAAAAGGCTGTTGCTACAAGTCATTACCACATGTTGCCTTTTCAGGGTCCTTGAGCTGTTCAGGGGGGCTGGGTTCTAGACCCTGGGCTCTAGACCCTGGAGGAAAAGTCCAAGAGGAGGTTTGAGGCCTCCCAAAGGTTACCTTTTTTTTTTTTTTAATCACTTCCAGGTGAGGCTCAAATTCACTGCCCCTGGTCTGTAGCGCCAGTGCTCTAACTACCAAGCTATGGCAACCAGCTCGCCACGTTACCTCTTGACATCACATACTCCAAAGTGGTGAACCCATTTCTCAGTATATTTTTCATGCAGGACAGTTTTTCAACCTTGATGTACAGTGACTGTGTAAAATTTTCTTTCAGTGGCAACCTCTATAATCTTTAAAATGTGGTAAGCATCTTGTATGTTTTGAAGGGGGTATGACAATAAATCTACCAGATGGAAAATCCTGTTAAAAAGTAGAAAAGCTTTAGTAATTTTACTCAGTGTGGTGGTTTTATCCTTTTTTTCTTTTTCCTCCCTGGTCTATAATGAAATTGTTAAAGCAGTGCAAAATAAAATCCTATGTATAAAAGTGTTCTTTTTTTTATTTTGGCCATTTCTTTTTTTAGTGTATTTTCTAATCTGTTTACAACTTTTACTTGTATTAAAGCATGTTTTTTAAAAGGGTCAGAATGTGTAACAGTTAACCCTTTTAAAACATTTTGCTAAAGTGTGATAAAACTTTTTTACTATGTTGAAATTCTTTTTGCTGTTGGTAATGTAAGCAAGTATTTTATACTCCTCAAATAGCTTAGAGACATGTATGTATGCCTGTAAGAAAACATAAAGAAAATCCAAATATGTGAAACTAACAGTAGAACCTGTGTGAGTTGACCACCCAAGGAACTGTAACCAACTAATCAACATAAGGAACCTAGGCCTACTCTACTGATACGGACATGTGATGCATGTCCAGTCTGAAAATCAGGTCCACTTGAAGTGGTCAGTGTAGGCAAGGGGTAAACTGTGGAGGTTCTACTGTACTTTCAGTTCACTCACTGACTTCAGCTCTCTATAGGTCTTTCTGGAAGATTCATCAGTGCTCTGTCAAAGTTTTGACGTTACTCTTGTGGGAAGTCATCAAATGATGTCATAGTTTTGTTTTGACTAGCTTTTTGAAGGCAGAGGTGAAAGGAAAATCTATTGTTATGAGTATATGTATTACAAACTGTTTTCCTTCAAGTGGTTGTGTCAGATTCCTTGGTTTTGCTAACTCACTCTCTTTACTGATGAAGGGAAAAGGTAAGACAGCTAGGTTCTGGTCTGTGCTAGAGAAAGAGTCTTTGGAAATTGTTAGTTTTAAACTTCTG